TTTTTTGACTATGTAACCTGAGTGGTTTCATTTACTTGCCCCTTGTCATTTACTTGTTACATTTAATTTGTTTTTAGCATTTGGTTTTAAGATTCTATCGAGAAAGACTACTGCTTGTAACCATGCTGGTTTCCATCAATTATTGCAGCTTTCAGTAAATTATATGGATGTCTTCAAAGTTGTTTGTTAGAACATTTTCAATGAATGAACATGGAAAACGGTTTCTATTAAGCTGTTTTGACTTTTGAATCATTCATTTAATTTCTCTTTGCTCTTTTCTGGATATATTATGACTTTTATTCTTTGAAATAAATTTAGCCAATTGCTCCTGAATACCCTGAGAGACTACTATGCATAGGTATTCATTATTTTCCATTTCAACTTTTAAATAAAATAATTTTCAATTTAAGACAATATTTTTAAAATTAAAATACAATATTTGGGGGGAAGTAATGAAAAAGGGACTCTCGTGGAAAGTATAAAGCCTTTATAAGAAATTTAAATGATTTTGGCCTAGATTTGCCTATTTCTTCAGCAAGAAAACAACATGCTCATATATTATCATTCTGTGAAAGAATTTAACCAGAAGGCTTCCCTTTCCTTTTAGGGAAAGCCTCCTGAGAAGAAATGAGCCTCTCATTCTGTGGCAACAACAGTTCTTCGTATGACATCAACTCTGGTGTGCTACAAAATACCTGCTTTGTCGATGCCCTCAATCTGGTCCCTCATGTCTTCCTCTTGTTTATCACCTTCCCAATATTGTTTATTGGTAAGTAACATCATACTGATGTCTCATTCAGAGCTGAGGTTTTACATAGTGTGGCCTTAATTACTCAATATGGAAGCTGATAGGGAAGTCTGTGAGAAAAGAACAAGCACTTATTGTGTGTTTTCTAATTATGGATGTTGTTGGCATATATTTATAATTCACTTTGATGGTGAAATAGAGTACACATACCTGTTTAGACGTTCTCTTCCGGTAGCAGGTGCAGTTTTGTGTGTATAAAAAAAGGACAAATACAGGAGATGATAACTGAGCACTTGTTTTGTGGTAGGTGAGCCTCACAGAAAATAGGTAAAACAATACACAAACTTTCAGGGAATGGTCTAGAGAAACAGATTTGTCAAATCAAGAGAAATGACCACATTACAATCCCAGTTAAAGATTCAGGAACAAATTATACTGAGCATTAAAGTACTTCAATGAAAGTATTACTAATGCTTCTTGGGGGTCGGTAGGTGGAAATATTTGTTTAGGGACTTGAATCATGCAAAATGTGGAAGTTAAAATAGGAGTGTCGATTGTGTATGTTTCAGGTAGAAAAAATATATATGTGCAAGGACTTTGAAAAGGAGACAATCACAGAGTTTTCTGTGTAATTAGATAGTCTAAGTATGTATAAATACCAAATTATGCAGAGCATTATCTGTAACTTGCTTAACCCCCCTAAACAACCAAAGTACACAATTGAACTTTTTATCAACTGTAAACGATTTTAATAAATAGATGAACATTCTAATGTAATGTTCATTCATAAACAACTACTCATATTAAATGATAGGAGAAAGAATTCAATGGAACCCATGAGCCAATCCCGATCCCATTACGCTCACCACATCTCTTATTCTATTTCCATCCTTCCACAAAGGGCAACCACTATTGTGAATTTGATGTTAGGAGCCTTTGTGGTGGAGTGGTTACACATTACAAGGTCGGTAGTTCAGAACCACTATAGGGACAGTTATCCTGTTCTATAGCGTGGCTATAAATTGTAATTGACTCTGTGTCTGTGAGTCTGGTTTTTGGTTTATCCTCTATATCACTTTACTATTATATCCATAAAATAGATAAAAAACTGTCACCATGAGGATTTTCTAAAGAAAAAGAGTATAACAACAAGATTTTAAAGAAAGGTTTAAAATTATTTGTACAAATTTATTTAACAAATATGTATTTGTTAATGTGCTTTGCATTATTCTAATAGCTATTAAAGAATTTCCGTAATGTAGCGCATCATATAGTAACAAAGGCTACCATAGCTCTTGGTACATAGTTATTCAGGTTAACCACATGTGCAAATTCTCTAAATATATTGGGACTACAGTAGCCATATGTGACAGCAGTAATTGTTGATCATGCATTACTTTGTTATAGAGTATTAAGAATTCTTTTGGTCAAAAGTAAAACATGCAATTTTTTCACCATAATTCTACAGTTAATAAATTTATTTTTTGACATCTATGTGTCAAAGTGAGATCATAGAGAAAAATTAAGTTTGTTCACTTAAAATATTGGCTACTGGAATTAATGAGGGGCCATAAATACGTAAAATTTCAAAGAAGTATCAGGTTCAAGGAAAACTCTAATTCTGAATAAAAAACATAGAATTTAACTGCAAGAGCTATACTATAAATTCTAAGAAAATCCTCAAACAAAACCCATTTCCATCGAATGGATTCAGACTCATAGTCACACTATAGGACAAATAATTGCTCCACAGTGCTTCTGTGACTGCATATCTTCACGGAAAGAGCTGACCTCATTTTCCTCCCACTGAGTGGTGGGGGGATTTGAACCAGAGACCTTTTAGGGACTCCTAAATACTAAGGGAATATGTTAAATGTAACTAATTTTCTAATAGTGAAGTACATTTAAGAGCAACAAAGACATAAATGAATTTCTTTTCATAGAATGCTTCAGGGTCCTATTTGTCTATACTGATGTTCCTTCCTACACTATTTCAAGCACAGACTCCTATTCATCTTTAAAGTATACTCTTTCCAGGAAAAGAAAAAAAGAGGAAAACCAGATACGTACACAGTTATTTCCTGCATACTACACAGGAATTGGTTTCCTTGGAGAGAGTTCAGAATGCTGCTTAGAAGGGAGGTTGACAAGACCTCATCTCACATACTTTGTACATGTGACATTAGAGGGACAAGTTCTTGGAAAAGGACCTCAAGCTTGGTAAAGTAGAGAAAGAGAAGGATGGATTGACACAGTGGCTACAACAATGGGTTCAAGGTCAACAGTAATTGGGAGGATGGGGCCGAACCTGGTGGTGTTTCATTCTGTTACCAATCCAAACCAACTCAATGGCCATCTGACAACCACAGCTATGACAACATGATTCTGAGAAGAAGCCAAAATTTTACTGAAATGTGATCTTGATGATTTGCTATAGTGATGAAGCAGAGGTGACCCCAGGGGGTTCACTGCAGGGCTTGGGGACTATTGACTGCCCCTGGTGATACTGTCAGACCAAATGATTTCAAAATGACCATCTAGAACATTTAAGTGTAGTGTTGCCACAGAAAGTCAGCACTTTTAATAAAAATATCTCTGTCGTCATAACAAAAACATTACTGAAAGCCTAGTTTACATGCAGCAATATACCTATAAGGATAAATAAAACTTTATGCTTTTTGAACCTTCTAATACACTCTGGTTAGAGCTGTTATTGCCACCCAATTAAAGTGATGCTTTGAATCATGTGTTTTTTGCTTGCATATACTAAAAGTATGGTAGGTGTTTTAATAGTTGCTTATTTTGTCATTTTTTTTTTTTTGCTTTTAGCTACTATATTGTAGTAATGAGCATTTCTGAATTTTTATCAATAACCTTTTTGGGAATGAAGTAGTAATCAAAGGAAAAGAAGAACAAAAGCAGTAGCTAATAATAAAATTTAATGCACCAAGATTTCACCAAAACTTTGTTGTCAGTATTCACATAATCTAGGAAATTTAACTTAAACAATTTAGAATAATTTCTCTCACATACTGTTCTATGGTTACCACTTGTAAACATCACTAAGGATTGGGTTTTTTTATGAAATACTTTTATTGGGGGCTCTTACATCTCTTATCACAATCCATATATTCATCCAGTGTGTCAAGCACATTTGCACACATGCCGCCATCATCCTTTTCAAAGCATTCTCTTCCCATTTTAACCCCTGATACCAGCTCCCCATTTCTCTCCCCTCCCCACCTCCACCCTCCCTCACGAACCCTTGATAAGTTATAGATTGTTATTTTCACACTAAGGATTTTGTATGGTCAGGATTGGGAAGAGGTTCTTGGAGTTGGGAGCAGGGTGACAGCATTAGTCACCACACTGGACAATACCAATTTTAGTAAAGCCACTGGGTAAACCCATACTGCTCTCCAGCCTGCTCAAAGGTGCTTCATCCATAAACAAAACTTTAACTTTCTTTGAGAAAGACGTTGGTACTGCTAGTTGAATTGTGCCAGCCCAGTCAGAAACAAGCATTTTTCTCTTATGATGGCGCATATGATTAATGGTTGAATCTTGCATTTCATCACCAAATTTCTCTTGCTTTTTTCTTTATTAGACTCTGATTGGATCTTCTGTTTTGAAAGATTCTATACACCAACGTTCTTTGACTATTATCATTAACTTGTTTTCCTTTTGAATGAACTTTAAACATTTTCATCTGTCACTAGACTATAGATTAGCAGGAGATAACCATGTTGTCACCTGGAAGTGGTGTTATTCTTGGTCCTTACAATAAGGGTTAGTATGTTAGCTAGTTAGTCTAGGCAGTCTTGTAAAAGG